CGATAATGTCCTCCATACCCAACCCAAGATACGACTCGTTCTTGCGTGCCGGCGTCATGTACGACTTGGAATGTGGCACCAATGGCTTCGGCGAGTCTCGTGCTGTAGATGCCGTCGGCACGGCGGGTGAGCTGTTCCCGCGGCTCTGTCCTGAGAAACGCGTGTCTGGAGACGCGGTGCGGCCGAATCGACTTTGAGGAAGCAGTTTCAGCGGCAACGAGCGGCTTCGCCTTGGGCACAGCGGCTGGAGGGGTGGGCTTGGCCGCCGAGCTTGATGCCAGCGTATCCTTGAGTGACGCCTTGGGACCCGATTCGACAGCTTTCCATGGCGCCAATTTGTTCGCAGAAGTCTCGGGTTCCCAGGCAGCCTTAGGATGACGAGCTTCAAGTTCCTGGGCGGCTTGCACAGCAGCCTGCGCTTGCTGCTGCTTCTTCCTCTCTTTCTGGGACATCCTGGGCTGAGAAGCTCGAGGCGACGATTCCTTGGTGTTCTGCGCGGCCAAGCTTGCCGAGAGGGCCGACTTTGGTGGCGTAGCCGTCATGACCTCGCGCAGGTCTAGCTTGGAGGTCGACAGAGGTGTTGCGCCCCAGGGACTGTTCGATGCCAGAGTTTTGTCCTTGCCCGCTCCTCTTGGTGTTTTCGGAGTAAATGGCGACTGCGTTGGATCGGCTAGAGGAGATACAGAGCCCGGAGACCGTGCCGATTCGGCCATGTTCAATGAGTTGGGCTGAGGGGAGGCCTTGGTGCTCTCATCAACCCTTCCTTTGGAGAGAGAGGGTTGAGCATTGGGGAGCTTTTGTCCCGGAGACCGCAGCGGACTTGCACTGATAGGTTGTGCTTCGTCATCCATATCGAACATGAGATCAGCGTGCGAATCCTTCGGACGAAGCATAGGACTGAAAGGTTCGTTCCGATTGACCTTGGACTTGCGTCTCGTCTTTTCAATGCCCTGGATGGGGGAAATTCCTGACACATCTTCAACGCTGCCGAATCGGGTGCGGTACGGGACCGAAGTCTTTCGGTCATCTGTGGCAGCTTTAAATGCCATCTCCTTGACTCGTATGATACGCTCTTCCTCGATATCAAGCGTCAGCTCGGGATAGAGCTCATACAGTAGTCTTTCAGCCCGCCCACTACGAGCAATTGGATACCGTGCCAATTGGTTCTGGCGGACGACGTCGTCCAGTTCACTCAGCAATTCTTCGTCCAGGTTATCCAGGAAGTGATTCTCCAGCATGGTCTCCATCTGAAGGCAAACGTATTCCAGCCCAGCATCTTTGAACTCAGTGACGGAGCAGGGACTGATCTCATTCAACAGCAAGCCAATGTTCCTTGTATTGACGAAGTGTCCAATAATGTGCTGACAGATTTGCGAAAGCCTGTCCAACATCAGTTCGTTGGCGATGCTCATGACCCGCACCACAAGGTCCGAGAACTCGTCGAGATCAGAAGAGACGACATCGTTGAAGAGCTCGAGCCCCACATCGGCATAAAGGTGTCGAAGCACATATTGGAACGCTTCGGGGTCGGCGTGCTCAAGATCCACTCGAATAAGATCCTCTTCCTCAAGGACATGCTGCCGGCCTGCTAGCCACATGCCCCCTGATCGACCGTGGAACAGCCCCTCAAAGAAGGCACAGCGTTGACGAAGGAGCTGGCTGTGTACACGTACTTCGTCGTCTTCGAGCTCAACCATGGCATCAGCATCATCGAAAAACTCTACGTCTCGGATGGCGCTTTTCATATCTTGATCCAAAGATCGCTCGGTGCTCGTTTGAAGACGCACAGCAACCTCGAGTTTCGCCATGTGAAGCTTGGTGGCGAGTTTCATGAGTTCGTTCCTGATCTGGCGGTACCGAGGTGCCTGCGATGATTGGCGCGTAAAGTTCCATGCAGGAACAACAACATCGTCGTAGCAGTAAACAATAAGGTTGATGATAGAGAGAAGATCAAGCGACTGGAAGATGATCAAGGCTTTTCCTTGATGCTCTTCTATCAGTAGAGTTTCCGGCATTTCATATCGGCCATGGGCGCGATACTCAGCCAATGCGCCTCGCACGACACTGCTCCGCGCCGAGATGAGCCATCCGTGGACGGGAACCTTGATCTCGGGAGTTGTTGAGGTGCAGATGAGTACGTCGAGCCCTGAGTGCTGAGGCGATGTGAAGTGCAGGTGCTTCTCCAGGTCGGCATTGAGGTTCGAAGATTGAAGGAGCTCATAAGGAAGATTCCCCAGTCGCTCCCTCCAGATCTCAGGATCTCCCAACGTCGAGCTATTCTTATGGCCGTGAAGAGGTTCAGATGCCTGGAACCTCCTGAGCGCTGACAACGGCGATATGTTCGCCCACAATGTCTGCCCGTCGATACTGATTTGCTCTCTCATAACATCACAGTCCTTGCGAATGGCCGCAAAGGCGCCAAACGGAGAGCTTCGGACAGCGATAGCATTGGTGACGCTGGGGACTCGCTGGAACTTGTAGTCGTTGCGCTTGTTGCCTGATGGTCCTGATAGCCTGGTGTCTTTGGCCTTCATGCGTTTGATGCGGCGCCAGACGGCACCAGAATCCGTGCAGATGATGACAGAACCATGTTCGCCGACGCCAATTGACCTGGCGCCGTCTTTTCGCGCGTTCCAGATGCACTGAGGAGCTGTGAGGGCGCCCTTGATCTTCGCAGGATTCGTGGTCGAGGCCGCTTGAGGGGCTGCCTCTGCTCTTTGGTTCAGCGCAACAGTGAAAACGTCGCCTCTCGTTGTCAGGGCAGCGATAGAATCTCCTCCTGAAGTGATCGCTTTGATTGAGTTCCTCGACATGTCATACCGGCTAGACATGGACCGAGGCGTAAATTGCTGGTTCGCGAAGACATCCGGGATCGGGAATTTGACAAAGTTGTATCCGTAGCTAGTGAATACGCACACGGTGCCGTCTTCCAAGAGGATTGTCGTGGCCTTGTCGATGGCAGAAACAGCAACTATGTTAGAGGAGAATAGAGAGACTGCTACTTTTCGCGGCGCAACTTGCACTTCGAGGGATCTAGAGTCGGCGTCCATGAGCGCCAGCTGGCCCAGGTTTTTGCCCCAACAGAAAAGCGAGGTTGCCGTGTGTGCGACTGAGTGAACAGCAGAGGCAGCAACACCCAAAATAACCTCCTTCTTGAGAGGACCAAAGACTTGTCGAGGAATGACACTCATCGGCTCCCTGTCCTGCCGGGCAGGCGGTAGAGAATAACCGAGCTGAGCATTGACGTTGGATCCCCAGGTCCAGAGCTCCCCGCCGTCAGTCACAGCCATGGTGTGGTTCTGGCCCAAAGCAACCTGGGTCACCTTCTTATCGGCCAGACTACCTTGGACGGGAAGGAAGCGAAACTGCGTGTTTTCATCGCCGAGACCCAGCCTGCCGCTGCGCCCAACGCCACAAACATACATGTTGGAAACGGGATCAGTGGTAAGGGATGGCTGTATGGAACTTGGGCAAGAACAGCGTCTTGGATATAGATGGGTCGATTCTTGGTCAGGGGCGGAATCTGGTCAAGAGCCGGAGGGTCATCCCGAGAAGACGGAGAGATCGCGACGGATCATCTTTGACCATCTCGAGGTATTCGCATAAAACGTTGAGAGGTGATCGGGTCGTTTCAGGATGACTCTCTCGGAACTGCTATCATCTCGTCGCCACTCGAGCGAGAGTCTGTACTCCAACATGAGATCTCTCGCCTCTGTCGCAGCTCAAGGGCAGAGACGGACATTGCGAGGTTGTCATCGTCGTCTGAATTGAATCGCTGTCGTGGGCCTCGCCTTCGTTTTTCGAATTCCCAGGCTCCTTGATATTGCGCGTACCAATAGTAGAGTTGTACACGTCGAATGGACTGTTTCCTTCGTTGTCCTTCGTCTTGATAAGCTGGCCAACCTTCGCCACGGCATTTCCAGCAGTCTGTTCGGTCAGGATTCTCCTTTCCTTGTCGAGCAGCAGGCGAGCGATGGAGATGTTGCCGGCATACAGGGCTCTGTGGAGGGCATTCCCAGCCACTCTCAAGATCCCTGAGTGTGAAGATCGATAACTGGGTGTTCGAGTAGGGCCCTGACGTAGAGGATGGCATCGGGATCGGTGGATGACGCGGCGCGCAAAAGGAGGGTGAGGGCCGGCGTGGTCGCGACTGTTGACTTCGGCCTTTCCCAGTGCCGCTCCGGCAGAACCTCTGGCGCCGCCGAGGTTGAGACCAAAGCCAGAGGGTTTGCGGGACTTGGTAGTCTTGGGGGACGTGCCAGCAGCGTGCGAGCCGGGACTGTTCCCCCAAGAACCACTGGCCGCTACCACTGGGCTTCTGCTCGGTAACTGGGTGCTGTAACCGGCTGGTGCCAGGAGACGCCGAAACTTGTCGACATCGTGTTCCCAGTAGTGCTTCCAGAGTAGATGACTCATGGGCAGTGGTAGTGTTGGAGAAGGACTCTTCTTGCGCTTGCGATTGCACCTCGCTGTGGTTCTCGAAGGACCGCGGCGTATTTAAAGGTGCAAGAACGAGCGCTCGAAAGAGTTCCGGGGTCGTAGGAGGGCGCTTTGCAATTTTTTTTCTAGCAGATGGCGCTAGATTCGCTTGGGTCGGTTTCGACGAGAGGTTGTGATGGTGAAAAAGCTGATAGGGTTGCCACCTAAACGTCCACGAGGTTCAAGGACAGGTACCACTTCAGGGTGGGGGTGTTGGAGGGCGAGACGCGTTTAGGAGGTAGGCTGACACCGTAGAATGTAGGTCAAACAGCGAAAAGTTTGCGATGGTAGGATAGTCGGCCCGGGCAAGGTAGGCGATGTTTAGGGTTGCGGCGATGTTTTCGAGGAGATGAGAACGGGAGAGGTCGGATACACCCACATTTCTCAGAGATGCCTGTGAAGCTCTCGTCACTTGTGCGCGTCAGGAAGCCCGCAGCGCCCCGCGCCAGTGACATATACGGGACGGGGGACGCACGTATCCACCCTGCTAGCTCGCCAGCTTGAGCCCCAAAAGGGCACATGGGGCGCCGCCAGTACCTCAAGACTGCCGGGAACTTTGGTCCGCCTCTGAGCATCCTGCCAATCGACGGCCCTATGTTGAGCGTGTGCTGGAGTCGCAGGCGCACAATCCTTTGCTCCATCAGTCAACCCAAATTGCCTCCAGCCTTGACGAGAAGCGCCGAAGCCGTCGGAAACACCTGCGCATAGTATGTGTGGGAGCTGACCCGGGACTGCCGACTCGTGTTAAAGGGCATCTTGCTCATGCTGCGCCGTTCAAGTGAATTGCGCATACCTGGGTATCTCGATGCAAAGTATCAAATTGTCCCTGAAAGTTACTAGGATGCTGATATGACTCGACCGGCCTGCGTGTGCGGGTTGTTGGAGCTCCCCGCCATGCGTGCCTTGTCCATGCTTCTGGTTAATCCCGCCTTGTCCAACCACAGGGAGAAGCACGATATGCGGCCTCTCGCGTGGGCCGTCCGATGATGTGCATCGCAGCGAGCCCAACATGTGGCTTAACCTTGTTTCCTGTCGCAAACAGTCCCCACAATCTTTGAGCTCATTCCCTTGTTGGTGCCAGCCAGACGATATCTTGGGCTCTCGACTTGAGCTTCATTTCCTACGCCATGAATTGGCTCCTATTTCAAGCCATCTGACATCGTTGACTTTCCACTTATGTCTTTCGAAGGGGCCTTGACAAGTTTTCGTCTGTATAATGCCTCCTCTATGAGAGCTACGAGATAGAAGGAAAATGAAGAGGTGAATATATGAAGTCTTCATGTAGTATTTTAACTGATTGCTCAGCATACCAGCATACATGTAGGGCGTGACGCTGACTTATCTTTGGTCGTGATCCGTCATCTTCTGTGATTTTCTATGTTACTAGCCTTCAACACGAAACAACCCATTTGTTAACAGCTTCGTAGCTGGTCAAAAGCAGATGTGAAGTCGCTACGGTGCCAAGTGTCCATCTGATCTGGTCAACCGCAAAATCCGGATCACTTCGCTTCGAGCCATGCCGACGATTGTCTTCTAGCCAAGGGCGTGCGTTGGTGCGAGGAAATGATAACGTCAAACTCGAACATAGTGCCAGTTGAGGTCAACGGACCGAGAGAACATTGGGACATAGTAATTGGTGACGAAGGCATCCCCCACCGAACACGCCGCCCTCACCGAAATCCAGGTCCCCACCGAGCTTGGAGCTTGCCCACCGAGAGCTGCAACCAGGGTCGCAGCACTAGTGGCCCAGCGCGAGCACAGACCCGTGGGGTTACCGCCTAGATAAGGCCACTGCCCCATGCCGAAACAAGCCGATAAGGATCCCTCGGGACGGCTACCGTCGAAATTCCCGCTAGACATCAATCGGCCTTGCCCATTGATTTTCGCTTTCCACAACTCTAGACCACCCCCCCATCTTCGCGACAAACTTTCGGTGAGTCTCTGCCGAGAATTGACGAGGAAGTGCCAGTACCTGACGACAGAAGAGAGAAGACCCGTTCGCCACAATGTCGCAGGAAACGCCCCTCCCCTTCGTCTACCAGTTCGCCGCAGGTACGTCACCCCATGCCTTTGCCTGATGGCTCGTCGCGATGTCGGAGCTCCAGCTAATAACATGCGACAGGCGCCATTGCTGGCGTCTCGGAGGTCCGTCCCACCCAGCCGTCCAGGAAGGTGGACTCTTACTGACATGTCGACCGAAAACCATAGATTCTGATGATGTAAGTCGTCGCCATCTTGTTTGCTGTGCCGGCGTTGTGGTTTGGTCGCGTGCTCACAACAACACAGGTACCCTCTTGACGTTGTCAAGACGAGAGTGTAAGAAATCTCGCCGCCAACGTCCCCGGCCGACCGACCGCTCACACACACGTGTTTCACAGCCAGCTTCAGACCGGCGTGCCCACCGCTGGCGCTGACCACTACAATGGCATGGTCGACTGCTTCCGCAAGATCGTGCGCAACGAGGGGTACGCAAACCCCCGGTCGCTCCGCTTAATCATTCTCCCAGCTTACAGATCTTCTCCTTCCCCTTCAGCTTCTCTCGCCTCTACCGCGGCATCTCGGCTCCTATCCTCATGGAGGCTCCTAAGCGTGCGACCAAGTTCGCCGCCAACGACGAGTGGGGCAAGGTTTACCGCAAGGCGTTCGGCGCCGAGAAGATGAACCAGTCGCTCTCCATCCTCACGGGTGCCTCCGCCGGTGCTACCGAAGCCGTCGTCGTCGTTCCCTTCGAGCTCATCAAGATCCGCATGCAGGACAAGGCCTCAGCCGGCAAGTATACGGGCATGCTCGACTGCGTCTCCAAGACGGTCCGCGCCGAGGGCATCCTGGCCCTCTACAACGGTCTCGAGAGCACCATGTGGCGCCACGTCCTCTGGAACGCCGGCTACTTCGGCTGCATCTTCCAGGTGCGCCAGCTCCTCCCCGCCGCCGAGACGCAGAGCTCAAAGGTCAGGAACGACCTGCTGTCCGGCGCCGTCGGCGGTACCGTCGGCACCATCCTCAACACGCCCATGGACGTTGTCAAGTCCCGCATCCAGAACAGCCCCAAGGTCCCCGGCCAGGTGCCCAAGTACAACTGGGCGTGGCCCGCCGTCGCCACTGTCGCCAAGGAGGAGGGTTTCGGCGCCCTGTACAAGGGTTTCCTGCCCAAGGTCCTCCGGTTGGGACCTGGTGGTGGTATCCTCCTCGTCGTCTTCACGGGCGTCATGGACTTCTTCCGCGAGATGAAGCAGCCTAAGCCCCTGAAATAGAGTGCCTAGGTAGGCGTTGACCACGGAAGCAAGGGAATCGAAAAGTTTGCTTGTATATCAGCGACATGCTCACGCACGAATAGACCTCCAGAACGAAATGCACAAAAAACATAGTTAAACAAACAGCGCGCGGTGTGAGTAACTTGTGGCTCGTAGTAGAGCGGTACATATCGTCTCATTATGTTCATAACTTCGTAGGGGTGTCAGTATAGGGATCAAAGCCAATGTGCCTCCGCGCTTTATTCCGTGCCTTCTACCGATGCTCGCGATCAATTCCTGTTGTGGATGTTTCTTCCAGGAAAAAGGCTAAGACGTGTTCGTCAATTGAGAGATGCGAAGCCTTGCTGGAACTTCTTGCAAGCTCGCAATCGATGAGCATCTTCATGAGCGAGATGAATGTGTATAGCATCGAAGGGGACCGTGCTGCAAAACTCCGAGCACGTGACGCAGATGTCTGTGCAGTAGGCTCGCATGCAGTGAGATGCGGTGCGTTCAATGACAAACTTTGAAGCTGTTCAAGCATTCTATTATCGACAAGGGGGTCGTCATTTGTGGCTGGAGTTGTCGTCGCCCCTACAGTCGTTGTTGACGCTGCTTTGTTCGCTGCTCTCGTCACCAGTGTCATGGTCATCAAAATCATCTACAAATACCTCGAATGCCAACCATTCCGGATCGAGATGAGGTGGGAAAGACCAGGCACTGGGTGGCTCTTCGCAGTCAGTATCCTCAGTCTTTATACCCGAGCTCAGGATTTCCCCAATATAAAGACTTTCTTTTTGGATCTGTTGGTCGACGTCTTGTTGCAAATCTTCGCAATCGGGAGAAGCTTCTTCTGTGGAACAAGGCGACTGTACAATGGCATCGCTTGTGCTCGCTGGGGGCCGTATGGATACATCTCGCTTTAAAAGTAGAACCGGATTGTTTTCCTCGGAATCCTGGCCAATATTGAGAATGCGCCCTGTGTCAGCGTAGAAGATTTTCGATAATTGAAAGAGGGGGATCGATTCCCGAATTCCAGCGCGGGCAATGCCATCGAACGGGCAGTCTTGGACGCGGTCATCACCATGCAGACGCCCATCATCGAGGTCCTCAATAATTTCCATATGGTAGGCGTACTCGACAGGTGTGCTGGGCGGATTTGTTAGTGGTGACGAAACATGAGCACCCGCAGGACCGTATTCCGGGGGCTTTAGCTGAGGACGATACCCAACCCTGCCATCGAATACGTGGTCAAGGGGCGTACGGCACAGACGAACCCGGGCCTTGTGAAGAACTTCTTGCCATAGGGGCTTCCTGTCACCCTCTTCTATACCATATGGTTCTCGCTTTTGCGACCCGTTTCTGGACAGATCGGGTGCATAGGGCACAGTAGTCGGGGGCTCTGTAGACTGGTCGGCATGGCCCAAAAAGAGCATGTAGAGCGAGAACGTAAAACAGGGTCCGATTTGAGCCGGTCTTGTGGGGTCGTTGGCATACTGCGTGTCGCCAAAGTTGAGTAGAGTGCTAGCTTGTAGCAACCTCGAGGGCGATACACCCGGTGATAAGGTTGACGTGAGGCTCTCGCCAGACGCGGTAATAGCCATGTGTAGGAGGGGAATGTCATGGTCAATACGAGCCAAGAGGTCTTTCATGTCTGCAATGATTCGGTCAAGCTGGATAATCACCTGTTCCGGAGGGGAGGCGCATGGCGATTGTTCGATTGTGAGGGCAACTTCATCAAGTTCCTTATTGAGCGAAGAAATGGCGACATGCAGGGCTCTGGCAATAGGCACGGCAGATTCAAGGAAGGCGTTTCCTCTGCCTGACTTGAACTCAATCAGATCAATAGCTGGCGATACGACCTGATATCATCGATGATAAGCTAAAGCTCGGTAGAAGCAACCTGAATCTTACTGTTGAGTTGTCTCTGCAACCTCTTGAGGTCAGTTCGAAAGTTTTGTCATCAATCTTTTTCATGAGGCGAGAACACTGAGAGACGGCATAAGTCGATGTCAAGGCAAGACCTGAGCGCATAGCCATATTGAGGGCTTGGTAACCAAGTCGAGAGAGTAGGGCGTCCATGCTGGCCAGGTCTCATTACGAAGGGACAAGCTGTTGCAGCATGGAAGAAGTCTACGCGGCGATTATATTTCAAAACCCACCTTTGTTGTCGTCATTCATCAGCGAGGGTAGGCAGCTTTATTATTTGCAGGCAGCACGTCCAACGTCTCAGCATGGCAGGCAGAGGGTGGTGAGAAGGTGGGCTGGCGGGGTGACCCATAGCTGCCGCAGGTTAACCATGGAGGGGCAAGTACACAGTGTTGACAGCTGCATCCATCCCGCAATTTCTTACCTCTCACTGCCTCTCCATGCGGCATGATGAGACACAGGACAGTGCGTGCCCAGACTTGATGCCTCGCATACCCCGCCTGGTGGGGTCACAGGTGGTACCCGACAGACAGCAGCCAACCTCTTTGGTGGTGGTCGGGCGACCATTACCAAATTTCCTCGCAAAAACTTGACTTGAGCATTGTTACGGCCAACTCTTGCCAACGACAGCCTGACAGATATCAGCCTTGGAATCTTTCCTTTGACGCTGCTTCTGCCTTGCGAAAACACGAGCGTCGACTCAGCAATCGCTGTGACTCATCCGGTTGTCGGCTCTTCCACATTCTCTTTCGGATTACCCCTCCGCGAGTCACTCTTGACAGGCCACCCACCGCAGACCGCATCTCGGTTTAAACACGCATCAACAGATCAACACACATCAACGGAACATCACGACTACCCTCAACATGTCGAACCTCAACTCGTGGGAGGACGATCCTGCCGCCCAGCAGGACGAGAACCTCTCCCAACAGGCCCAGCAGCAGCTCAACATTAACCACCAGCCCAACCCCAATGCGGGGTCTTTCCGTCCCGGTGTCGCCAGCTTCCAGCCCGGCGCCCAGAGCTTCAACCCCGGCCAGCAATACGGTGGCTACGTGCCTCAGTACCAGCAATACTACAACCAGGGCTACGGCGGCGGCGGCTACCCTCAGTACGGAGGCGGCGCCCCTGGTCAAGGTCAGGGTCAGGGTCAGGGATACCAGCAGTACGGACAGCAGGGAGGCTACGGTGGCCAGCCCGCCTATAACCAGGGTTACGGACAGCAGCAGTATGGCCAGTACAACCAGCAGCAGCAGCAGCAGCAGCCGCAACAAGTTGCGCCGACTATTGCCAAGCGCGAGAATGCGCCAGCCGCCGCCCCTGCGGCTGCTCAGCCGACGGTCAAGAAGGAGGGCGGTGCCAAGGTTCTGAGCATCGGTGGTGAGGCCCCCAAGCCCAAGGCTAAGGTCCTCTCTATCGGCGCTACCGCTACGCCGCCTAAGGAAGCCAAGGAGGAGAAGAAGGAGCCCGCCGCTGCTGCGACCGCTGCCGCCACCGCCGCGCCAGAGGCCGGCGCCAAGGCCACCGCTGCCAAGGCCATCGAGAAGACTGGTGCGACCAGCAAGTCTGGCAAGACCTCTCCCGCCCCCTCCTCTGGCCGCTCGAGCCCTACGGCTGGTGGTCCCAAGGGTCCCGTTCGTGATGCCGATGCTGTCGCCAAGGAGCAGTCCGCCGACGTCGACGATGAGACGCTGGAGGAAGTCTACGGCAAGGAGCACGTCAACATTATCTTCATCGGCCACGTTGATGCCGGCAAGTCCACCCTGGGTGGTTCCATCCTGTACGCCACAGGCATGGTTGATGAACGAATCATTGACAAGTATAGGAAAGACGCCAGGACCTCGGTCGCGAGAGTTGGTACCTGTCGTGGGTCATGATTCTGACAGCTGAAGGATCGAGTCAATGTTAGACGGTCGATGTGGATTCGGCTTTCTTCGAGACGGAGAAGAGACGCTACAGCATCTCGATGCCCTGGTCACAAGACGTACGTTCCTCGATGATTGGCGGTGCGTCGCAGGCCGATGTCGGTATTCTCGTCATCTCTGCCGTAAGGGTGAGTACGAGACGGGCTTTGAGCGTGGTGGCCAGACGAGGGAGCACGCCATGCTGGCCAAGACGCAGGGTGTTAACAAGCTCGTCGTCGTCATCAACAAGATGGACGATCCTACCGTCGAGTGGTCTCACGAGCGTTACATTGAGTGCACAACCAAGCTCGCGCAGTTCCTGAAGGGCACGGGCTACAACCTCAAGACGGACGTCATGTTCATGCCCATTGCGGCACAGCAGACCATGGGCATCAAGACCGCGGGTGCCCAAGGAGAAGGCGCCCTGGTATGACGGCCCCTCGCTTCTCGAGTACCTCGACGGCATGAAGACGCTGGAGCGCAAGCTCAAGGCGCCCTTCATGATGCCCGTCGCGGCCAAGTACAAGGATATGGGCACCATCATCGAGGGCAAGATCGAGGCGGGCGTGGTCAAGAAGGGCATGTCCCTTGTCATGATGCCCAATAGGCAGACGGTTGAGGCTACTGCGGTGTACGGCGAGACGGAGGACGAGGTCAACATTTCGCAGTGCGGCGACCAAGTACGCCTGCGTCTCCGTGGCGCCGAGGAGGAGGACATCATGCCCGGTTTCGTGCTGTGCTCGCCCAAGCGTCTCGTACACAACGTGACGGCCTTTGAGGCGCAGATCCGCATCCTCGAGCTCAAGAGCATCCTGTCTGCCGGCTTCAACTGCGTCCTGCACGTGCACGCCGCCATTGAAGAAGTGACGTTCGCCGCGCTGCTGCACAAGCTCCAGAAGGGCACCAACAGGAAGAGCAAGCTGCCACCCTCGCACGCTAAGAAGGGTGACAGCATCATTGCACGCATGGAGGTGACCGGCGGTGCTGGCTCGGTTTGTGTGGAGAGGTTCGAGGACTACCCGCAGATGGGCCGATTCACTCTGAGAGACCAGGTACGTGACAACCCCCCCCTCCCCTCGATGTTTATCGATAGAATATTGCCTCGCATGCTTACGTACGGAACAGGGACAAACAATTGCCATTGGCAAGATCACCAAGCTGATCACCAACGACGCTTAATTGGAGGACGACATGACGTGAAACGACTTGACGAGAAAAGTCCCGGTGGCTAAGTAGGAAGGACATGCGTGTGCGGGAGGCAAGGCAGTACAAACCTAGAGAAAAGTTGAACCGAATCTACAATATGATGAAAAAAAAAAAGAAATGATGTGTGCAGAGTCGCCGTATGTCCGAGTGTCAAAACGATGGAAAATGATAGATGACGCGAGGGACACTTGCCGATGCCACCCAAGGTAGCAGCCGTGTGTGTTCTCGACCGAAAAGCCGACCGGCCCGGCCAGCTACCGTGACGGATGGTGCCGGTGCCGGCAGCATGGAGGGGATGTTGGTGTGTGTATCAGGTTGAGAGGTTCCTCAGAACCTTCAACTCCCGTGAGGGTGCAAGAGAGCAAAGACTGGACGAATTACTACAAGGTAGTGGGCGTCCCAGCCCGGCCAAGATTCCGATTGCTCACATCCGGCGGCTGGTGGCAGCTATTTTCGCCCCCTGGACAAGCACACCTGTGGGTGGAGGAAACGAATGGGTACCCCGCCACCCCGCAAGCCACGAAACTGAATTGGACCAGTTCCGGCGCATTTTCGTGCCATCAGGGCGCGAAGGGGGCGATGACGCGAGATAAGGGGAGAAGACAGAGGTCGTGACGACGAAAACAAATCGGAAGAAAGGAGTTGATGCCTCTCCCCCCCGGGCCCCCAAAACATCACGGGATAGGAACACGGGAAGGAGGTAAGGGTGTTCCTTTCCTTGCAAAGTCAGCTAAGGTACAGGCAGGGGAAGATGGGATGTGGGATTTCGGAAGATGGGTTCCAGGGCAAGGGAGACAGGGGTGTGTGTTTTTGCATCTGCGTGCGTCTGCGTCTGCGTGGTGACTGACGCTACTGCCATGACCGTTTAGTGTGTTGGGCAGCAGCCAGCAACCTGCTAGCAGCGTGCCAGCAGCAGCAAGGCGGCCGAGATGGGACGGCGACGGGCTGGTGGGCGGGATGGGGCTTTGTCTTCTTCCCTTGTCGACTCTGAAATTTTAGTTCGGACGGACGGTGCTGGTGGTGGGATGGTGCGGAGCCGAGGGGGAGGAAGCCGGGTTAGCGGAGGGGTTCGTTGGGGTCCAGCCGGGCGGTGGACGGGCAGGGCGGCCGGCAGAACGCGGGACGCTTTCTTTGGAGAATTCGGGGGGTGCTGATGTCTCAGAGGCCTTGAGAGGGGGGTTCACCATTCGAAGCGGTGGGGCTTTTGCTGTCTGGAAGAGTACATAGTATACGAAAAAGACATTCGTATGCCGTGCATTGTGCAGGACTCAGCTTCGTCAGTCTGTTGGTCTCAGGAATTCTGACACGTCTGGGTACGACGTGGACTATTTGCAAATATTGAGTCACGTTGTGGGAGAAAAAATGAAAAAATGAAAATAGAAAAGTATCACGTTGACCGTACGCTCGAGCCAAGTAGCCAGGCCGAGAACACGAAATCTCGGGAGTCACGAGAGTCACGGGGGAGTCACGGTGCTAGGGGGGTTACGTAAATTGGCATGAAGCCAGCGCCCTCACCGAGCTGACCCAGGATTGTAGACAGGGCAAGCTGGTGAGAATCTTCCCCGGCTTGGACTCTGTGGGCTGTATGGGGCTGTGTGCATCGTGCCTTTCTTTGGTCTGCGCGTCAAGCAAGGTGTCAACCCAAGGGAACGAACGAGGTCGGGTGTCTGGTTAGCGGCGGCCTAACCAGCCAGCCAGCCCCCTGCCTGCACTTCTCGTCCATGATGCCGCGGGAGGGATGGGTCGGTTGGTTGATGGCGATGGGCTCGTTCGGCCGTTGCCCATGGTATGCCGTCTCACCGTATTCCGTTTGCCGTGTGAAAAGGGGGCCAAGACACACACACGCACCACGGCTGTTCCATGTGAAAGCGCTTACCGACAAGCAAAGTTGGAGAAGGAGGGGAAAAGAATTGGAGACAGGGCAAGGACAGCGAGAAGGCCTGAGGCCGGAAGATGTCGGAAGACGAACAAGGCAAGCCGCATGAACCGCTGATTTGCTGGAGACGCTCAGCCAATGGTCAGGAGGGGATGGGTCAGAGAATGGGGCTTGGGCGGCTCTTGATGCAGGCGCGGGGCACGCGAACGTCATTTTGTCTCGTTCGGCACGGGCGTAGTGCACCGCGCCACGTCGGGT